TACTATGTTTTATAAGGCTTACCTGACAATCATTTTTCTAACAATATTTTCAAAAATATTGTTAAAAAAATGGTTGTTAGGCAAATAACATATAACCGTTCTATAAAAAATTCTATACATTAAGTGTATATTTAAATTACACACATTGGTTCTAATGGCAAATATTCTTTAATGTTAAGTGATTTTTCAAAAAGGAAGTTCTTGTAAAACATTTACAAGTTCATGATATTTTTTTTATTTTGTAGTTTTATCCAAACATTAAACTGATAAACTTTTATAGTTGTAGCCTGTTCAATATCTTGAACAAGAACCTCATTTCCATGATTAGTTGCCGTTATTTTTTGTTGTTTTTGTAAATAATCTATATAACGAGAAATAACTAAAATAAATTCTTCAAATTCTTTAGATAATCAGGTGAAGCTCGATGATTTCATCTACAGAGATGTGGCGAATAGTGCAAGGGCATAACAATGAAGATTAGGCTCATTCACATCAAATAGTTTTCTAGCCTCTCTATATGATTTTGGATCTGCATAGTTCAAAAATTCATAAAATAGACGAGGAATATGGCAACTTCATTCTTCTAACTTTTTATAATCATATATGTCTATATACCATAACGCTTCGAACAAAGTGACAACAAATTGTTTCTTTTGGTTATCTGCAGAGAGTTGTGTTGACCAACCACTTTTATGATATTAGATCCAATTCATTATATCTCGCAGACTGCATAAGAATATTAAAACTATTTAGGGCATTAGCAGGTAATTTTTCATCATTTTTAAGATGATAATAAATGTTCATTCCGAATATATCAGTAATCTCAATGATTTTGCAGTCAGGGCTTACCCGTATAGCTTCTGAATTTATAGATTGACTTATTTCAATATAATTAAATTTTTTAAAATTCAAGCTGGTTTGTATATTCGGAACTGATATTTCTTTACTAATGTGCTGAAAAAATTCTTTAATCATCATTTCACATGAAATTGGACAAATATACTATCCATACAAACCTTTGAACCCTTGTGAAATATGTATGTTTGCAAAAGGCATTTTTTTTTTTTAATAAAAATCTTTATTATTAATAGAGAAAGCTCTAAACTAATATAAAGGCAATTCAAATTATAGTATTCGATTCAAAGAGGCAACAAAATTATAATTTATGATGAATTTCTCAATGAAAGGTAAGAC